TATAATTATTACGATTTTTTTTTTTTTTTTTTTTTTTTTTTTTTTTTTTAGATAGTCTTGCTCTGTTGCCCAGGCTGGAGTGCAGCAGCGCGATGTCGGCTCCCTGCAACCTCCACCTCCCTGCGACCTCCGCCTCCCGAGTTCAAGAGATTCTCCTGCCTCAGCCCCCCGAGTAGCTGGGGTCATAGGCACGCACCACCACGCCTGGCTAATTTTTGTACCTTTAGTAGAGACGTGGTTTTGCTGTGTTGGTCAAGCTGGTCTTGAACTCCGGACCTCAGGTGATCCACCAAAGTTTTGGGATTACAGGCGTGAGCCACCGCGACGGCAAGTTTTATAAACTAGACAAAACTCAATGACTAAGACTTCTTAGAGTAAAAGGTTTTGATAGAATGTAGACTTCGTCTGAAGTTAGGACCCCAAAGGCACAACGGGCATATTGTCAGCGGTAACTGAATATCTCCCATGAGCAAACAAGCACTCGGGAGAAATCATTAGATGTAAGTTGGACCCAAATTCTTATAACAGCTAAAGGGCTTGGCAGTTTGTCCCCTAAACTGTAAGCCACTTTTGGGTAAAGGTCGAGTGTCCTTGTTGTGTAAGTCTCTGGGTGTTTTTCATGAGAAAAATCCCACATTTTTTTTTCCTTTGGTTCCTTTCTTCATTCAACAGATTTTACGGAGTGTTTATGCCAACTACTGGACTGAGGAGGAATAAAATACAATTTTTGCATTGAAAACACATTGATAAGTTGCCTGCAGCATATTAAATAAAGCAATTCTGGGTACATGGGATGGTGAAATTTGTCCTTGCGGGAAATTGATTAGAAGCTATACAGGAAATGACTCCTCAAATAATACACGTATTGAGAAAGAGCTCTTACCGGCTGGTGCCTGGACTAAAGAAAATTTAATTACTTAGGAGATATGTGGGTGGTTTGCCTGAATAAGACGTAGCTGTCAGTCATTGAAGGCCTGGGAGAGAGTACTCAGAAAGACAGAAAACCAGGAGCTTCAGGAGCGCAGTAGGTTGAAGACAAGGGAAGGGCTAAGGCAGGTCTTGTTGCTGCGTGGAATTATCAGGTCTGAAGAAGCCCAGAAGACAGCAGCACAATCCTCAGACCCCTGGAGCTTAGGGGAAGAGTTTAGAGCTGCAAAACTGACAGCAGAACTGTGGAAGTCACCATTTGCATCTAGAGGAGCAGCCACAAGGCTAGTTCTAACCTTAGTCTAAGGGAACAGAGGCGCAAATAGAAAGCATGTAACTTTTTCCGTGGCCAGAAACGCTCTAAGGAAGATGTTGGTTTGATATACAAAGGTTGAAACAATTCTAAAGATGTGCCATTGCCTGTCTTTTTTAAAACACTGTGTTTTACAGATTTTTCATACCCAAAGATTGCCTCATATTATAGCAGAGTAACTGGTATGCTTTAAGTGAATAATAGGGCCCATGGTTCTAGAGAGGATACAATGGCAAAGAGAGGGGCCACAGCAGGTCATAGAAGTGTCCAGAAATCCAGAGGAAGTCTTCAGAGAAAAAAATGCTTGATCCCCTCAGGGGTGACAGTGGAAATCAGCTCAACCCTGCATTTACTAAGTGCCTGCTAGTATTGCAGTGAATTCTTTCAACAACTTTTTAAGAGCCTATGTGTGTACCTGAGACACAAAAATAAATGATACATGGCAATTTGGTTTAGTAACAAAGTTAAACTCGTAAACAATAAATGTCAGATGCCATGCTAAAATTATCCACAAAGTCCTCAGGTTGGTACAATAATATCTGGAGGAGGGTGTCAAGAAATCAGGGGAAAGGTTTATAAACGAGATTATTTTATGTCTTAAAAGATGAGTAGGTAGGGCCGGGCACGGTGGCTCACGCCTGTAATCCCAGCACTTTGGGAGGCCGAGGCGGGTGGATCACGAGGTCAAGAGATCGAGACCATCCTGGTCAACATGGTGAAACCCCGTCTCTACTAAAAATACAAAAAATTAGCTGGGCATGGTGGCGCATGCCTGTAGTCCCAGCTACTCGGGAGGCTGAGGCAGGAGAACTGCCTGAACCCAGGAGGCGGAGTTGCCGTGAGCCGAGATCACGCCATTGCACTCCAGCCTGGGTAAAAGAGTGAAAAACTCTGTCTCAAAAAAAAAAAAAAAAAAAGATGAGTAGGTGTTTGCCAGGTGGATGTAGTGAGGCAAGACTGGTAAGGAATGCTGCTGTTAAAAGAAGTGTATTTAAGGTAAAAATCTTCCAGTATTAATAAAACACAGGGTTAAAGAGAAGAGAAACATAGAAAGAAAAGTGAGGCTGGCATGTCAGGCAGGCTCCAGATCATAAAACGGTGCGTTTGCAAGTGCCCCTGGTTAAATTTTCAGGAACTTCAAGAGGCAGATATTAAACTCAGTCATTCTTAGCAAGTAGGTTATGTTAACTTACTCTTAAATAAACTAGTACAAAGAAAGCTTACTCCATGTGGACCACTTCCTGACTTATTTTGCTGCATTTACTGTTACCGATGTTGAGAATAGTTGCTGTATTGTGTCTATGGCATAAATACTATGCGATGGTGTGTTACTGGGCATTTCCTCCCAGCTTTGCATTCAGAGATGTCGTGAAGTGGCATAAAACCAGCCAGGGCAGGAATATTTATGCTGTGAATCTTAGCAAACGCCACAAGTCAGGGCTCCACCTTACCACCAAAAGCCCATTTTTAAACTGGCTTTCTGAACTGGCTTTTGATTGTGAAACCAGCGTTGCATGAACTCATGTAAGATTTTCGGCTTTTTCATAAAAAGAATGACCAATCTGATTTGGGTGAAGGAAAAGGAGACAGAATGACTCACAAGTTTGACCTGGATAACAGAAGCAATGGTGGCGCCATTTATTTTAAGAGGACTCGAAGGTGGGAAGATACATAAAGTGGAGAAGATAATAAGGTTTGGATTTACTGCATTTGGGAAGCCCATGTTCCATCCCAGTTCATTAGGCAGTTGGTTTTATGGGTCTTGAGCTCGAGAGTCTAGACTGTATGTACGTACTTGAGTCACCTGCATGCAGGTCGTAGTTTAAACCACGGACATGCTGATGCTGCTCAAGGTGCATAAGCAGCAAGTGAAGACTGCCAAGGCCAGAACTCAAGGACTATTCACAAGGTGGGCAAGGAGAATGAGCCAGCCAAGGAGTTGATAGAGCATGTCAGAGATGTCTGAGGGCAAACAATCTCACAATACAGCTCCTGAGCTCAGTCGTCCTTTGAGAGAAGGAAGCTAGGATATGAACTGAGAACTTCAAAGCAGTAAGTAGTACCAAAACGGCATGCATAGATTACTGTTCACAAGAGTCCAGGGGACCTGGCAACAAGCTTCCTCAGAAAGAGAGATGGGGATGAGTAAGGAAAGGCTTCAAGGAGAAGCTGACCTTTGAGCTTCTTCTTCGGTAGATGTTTATCTAGCTGCAAAACCCTGAAAGCCCAGGAAGAAGGGAAGACAAAATGGGAAAGTATATTTTCCCCAAAGGATACATTTGGTTAAAAAAAAATTGCCTGAAATTTTGTAGATATATTCTCCAAATACACCAAAGCATTACGTTTTTTTATCCGACCATTACACGTACTACACGATTGTTTCTAAACTAAAAATTTACTGGAGATCTGCATTCAGAGAGGATCTTAAAAAGGTATATGGAATTCCGCCCACTTTTTCCTCAACCCCAGAACATAAGAATGCTTTAGATTTTTTTTTTTAACTATTCCAGATTTAATGAGTATTTGACATATTTGCTTTGGGGACTATCCTGGGAATAGTTACATGGCAAGTAACTCAGCTTCCTACCTCCGTACTTTATAAACTCAGCGTTGCCCAGAGCGTTTTTCTTCTGCTCCTCCAGATATTTTCCTGTTGGCTGTTTGGAGAATGGTATACTGTTTAGATTTGTATCTGGAAATGCCTCGAATCTCAACAGATGTAGCAAAAGCAAAATATATTATATGGCTTCACTTAGACTTCCTTTCAAATGGTATGTGCCTCATCCCTTTCTGTTGTGGATGCTGAGATTTAGAGGGGTCTATTGTCACTTTTTAAATAATGACCGAGTTCCAGAGGCTAAGGCACTGAAGGGCTGCCAGCTATTCATGCATTTTACCCGTCACTGAATAATACATGGCGTGAAATGGTTTCAGAAAGGAGCTTTGGGAAAAACTAGAAAAAACAATAGTGCACTAAAAGACACTAAATCTCATGGATGCAAACTAATTTGGAATTTGTGATGTTAACTTCTGCAAAGCTAGATTAACTCTTAAGATTTTCCTATCTTTGGATCACAAAGCTTCCCTCTTTGTTTTCAACTATTAGCATTTGAAAGAACACCATCCAACATTCCTATTTAAGATCTTGAGGTCAGGATGGTCAAATCCAGAGTTACCCACTTCCCTTCCTGTGCCTTGATGGATTGCGTCCTTGTCTCTGGGCCGTGTGCAAAAAGATAGTGCCTCCTGTGTCATTGCTCCCAACGTGTTGTGCTTATTTAGACCTTACACCCTATTATCTAGGTTTACATCATTTTACAGAAGAGACTAAGACTCAGTGAAGTCAGTTGCTTCAGTCACAGAACTAGTAAATGGTGAGCCAGAATTATGCCATACTGCCTCTACACAGGCATTATGAATCTCTAATCCCATTTATTACATTTTATGTTTAAATGCAGACAACCATCATCGGCAAGGACCCCTGCCTTCATGTTCATAACAGGCCTCACACGTAGCGACATCTAGGCAAAATAAGTCCTTGAAAAGCCAGTGCCATCTTCGATCAACCCACTCCAGCACCAGGCACTGCGGCACAGAGATGGTTTATCTTTGTGGTTTGCGATTTTTGTCCAGTGTAAAAGATAACCCATGGATTGTAGTTTAATTGCTCTGTGGAACATAAACCAGTTTTCTATCTGTGGAGAGCCCTCAACATCGTCCCCAAATTCGAAGATTTGCTAGGAAGACTCATAAGACTGCATACAGTTCTGCTCATTGCCATGATTTATTACAGTGACAAGATACAAAACAGAATCAGCAAAGGAAAAAAGACACATGGGGTGAAGTCAGGGGAAGCTAAGTGCAAGCTTCCAAGAATCCTCTGCCAGTGGAGTCACAGAGGATGAGCTTAATTCTCCCAGCAACCAGTGGTAACCGCACTTGTGAAACGTTGTCAACCAGAAAAGCTTGTTAGAGACTGAGTGCCAGGGGTTTTCACTGGGAGCTAGTCATAAAGGGCAGTCTCTGCCTGGCACATACCAAACTTCCAGACTCCCAGAAGGAAAGCAGGTGTTCAGCAGAAACTACATTGTTCTACAGTTTAGCTATAGTAAGGAACTCTGATCTGTTCTGGGAACGGTGGAAGCCCCCTGAACTCCAAGTTCCCAGAAGCCAAGCAAGGGCCAACCTTGCAAATCAGGTCTCTAAGGATAAGTAATCAGGTCTGCTTCATTAACACTTTTTTCTGCACAGCAATTTTATCTCAACATTCTTCTTCAATGCCAATAAATACTCAGTTTCTTGAATTGTACTTGGAACCAGCTTTACTATCTGCTGGGCTCCTCATTAATGAGCTGAGTAAGTCTCTGACACATGCTCATTTCATATACATGTATATATGAGTCACGTCAACTTAATAAAAGGTTTGACAGATAATGACCTAATCAAGCTAAATAAAGTCCAGCCGAAATTAATGGTTAAAAAACATTAACTTAGCAATGTCCAAATTCACTCTGTACCTCGTTTTAGTTATTTAGGGGAAAAACAACCTTCATCCTTGCATTTCACACTTTCCTACTGACTTTAGCAAGCCGCCTGATTTAGGTGGCAATCACCTGCCTAGTTGTACTTAGGGCAGTATTAATGAAATAATCAATGTCACTGCAAGTAAGCAATAATATATAAAGATCAATTTCCTCTTTAGTTTTACCAATCAGTATTAAAATGCTACATCATTTCAGATGAAATTCCCCATTTAAATATACGACACATAAGCCAAAATTTAGAAATAGCTCCTTTTGTCACTGTAGTTTTTGAGTCTTTAAAAAAAAGCCTTAATTTTGGCCGGGCGCGGCGGCTCACGCCTGTAATCCCAGCACTGTGGGAGGCCGAGGAGGGTGGACCATGAGGTCAAGAGATCGAGACCATCCTGGTCAACATGGTGAAACCCCGTCTCTACTAAAGATACAGAAAATTAGCTGGGCACGGTGGCGCGTGCCTGTAATCCCAGCTACTCGGGAGGCTGAGGCAGGAGAATTGCCTGAACCCAGGAGGCGGAGGTTGCGGTGAGCCGAGATCGCGCCATTGCACTCCAGCCTGGATAACAAGAGCGAAACTCCGTCTCAAAAAAAAAAAAAAAGCCTTAATTTCAAGTTTAAATATAATGTGCAGCTTATATAACCTATATATATAATAATACTTTATATATTATATATAAAGTAACATCCTTATTGTGAACTTTATTATGCTTCTGAAATTTTTCCAATTATTTCAAATTTACTTCAATAAAAATTTCCCTATATTTTGTGAATTGCATTTTAAAATCAGAATGTTACAAATTTCCATCTATAATAAAAACAAAATATTCATGCTTTATTAATAATCCTAATTAGAAAAGGATGCAATTAAGAGCTGACATAGCTAACAGAAACATAAGAAAGGTAAACTTTTCTTGAATAAAAAAATAGGAAATACTTTAATGAAAAAAAAATCAAGGACAAAAGGAAGGAGAAATTTTTCTACACAGTACCTGGTCCTTCTTCACAATTTGCATTACTTGTGCAAATACATCATTAAATAAATACTCATCTGCTATTTACAAAAGAGAGGTAAGAGAAAAACCTAACGTATCAGGATCTTTCATCGGCTATCCCTCTTCCAAGCTTCTGGATACATGACGTACCAACTCAACATGTGATACTAGTTAACTATAGTTGAAAGCTTATCAATTAAATCATCAATAGTGTAAACAAGAAGCTGAATGTCTGCTTTCTCCTTCATTCGGTGGTCACTATGTTTTCGGAGGATGACATCCACGTCTGTGCTGAGCACTCGGTCGGCCACCTGCATCGATGTATGCCAGGGTACAACATCATCCTTCATGCCGTGGAGCAATCTCACAGGGCAGCTCACGGGAATCGGGCTGTGTAACAGGCAGTGGTGCTCAGCCTCTTTAATGAAACTGTACTGAATGTGATAAACTCCTTCTTCATGGTATTTTGACGGCATGCTCCACACACCTTTCGTTTCGACTTCCTTTTTTACCTATTGAAAAAAGAAAAATAAAAGTATTTGTGACTTTATGCAACACTAACACATGCGATAGCTTTAAGTAATCTAACGAAGGCAGTTCTTGAATGAGAAGACAGAAATAACAAAAGCATAATAATCATTTTCAATAATTAATTACTATATGCAAGGTACTATGATGGGTATTATATACATATTATTCATAAAATTCTGATAATTCTGTTATCCCATTTTTATAAAGAGGACATTAAGGTTTAGATGAAGGAAATATTGTGCTGGCTACTAACTGCTATGACTGAGACTCAAACTTGAATTTAAATTTATCTAACTTTATCATACACTATGTTAAATCAGGTGTTGCTTCAACCCAACTGAAAAGAAAATGAAGTGGGAGAAAAGTATTACAATTTCTTGGAATCAGTCCAGGTATCATTCATATTTATATAAAATCAAATCATACACATAGTTATGTAATTTTAGGCTGAATATAAACAAATCGTTTTCCTTCCAAAGTCCTAAAAAAGAAAAATAATCTGATTTTTGTTTTGGATGACAAAGAAGACTTCCACATACTTCCTGAAAATCAAACAATAATATGTGTACATTTTTTCCCATAAAATGAAACATGCATGTCCTTGACTTTCTGAGAACTTATTTTTTATATTATAATTTATCTTAATTTTTCTAATTAAAAAATTAGAATTTTGTATGAGTAACATACAGAAATTATAGAAAACATAATAATAATTTTAAAAAAAGAAATAAACCACCCATAATTCTATCTTATGGATAGAAAAACCATTAATATGCTAGCTTATTTCTTTCCAGTATTTGTCTATATGTGTTTTGGTTTTTATATAAGTATAATGCAAAATACATACATATTACATACTCATATACAGCTTTCTATGCTGCTTTATTTAATACATATATTTCTGGGTTTAAAAAATTCTATGAAACGGTTTTAAATGCCGCACTTAATTAGCTTGACCATCCCATACTGTTGGATACTTTCATCTACACTTCTGAGCATAAAAGTTTATTTATATATAATATATTCTTAGACACTCAGAGCTTAAAACTAAAAAAAAAAAAAAAAAAAAAAAAATAGCTATGAATAGTTTTAAGACTTTTGCAATTATATGATATGAAGGGCATTTCTAGAAAAATGGAATGGACATCTTATTAAAAATTTTTTAAAAATAAGGAAAGAAAAGCTATATGTAACATATTTGAAAAATTTAAAGTTTCACAAATATACTATGATTTTTCCATGTTTAAAACTGTTTATTGCAAATGTAAAAAGGAAAACAAATACTTAAAATATATAATATAATCTACATGTACTTTATAGTCTTTTAATGTATTTTTTTGATTCCAGAAAGATTTGATAATTCAGTTAAAAAAAACCATACTTCTAAATATGTCTTCAAATGATTTAAAATTAAGGAAATTCTATAAAATTATAAAATGCATAAATCTATATTAATATCATGGCGTTTTCTGTATTAAAACAACATATGAACCGAATATTTAAAGTAAAGATGACATTCAGTTATCCTCAAGTTACTCAGGATTGTTCCTGAAATTTGTCAATATTTCAGTAGCTAAACTTAGTTCCACTGGCTATTAGCTGAAGTGGAGGCTTTGCTAATTAATGGGACACTCAATTAATAATAGTTTCATTTTAAGCATCCCTAGCCCCCAACTAGCTCTGTTACCAGCCACTGAATTGAATGAAAATGGTCTATTTGAAGAACAAAGTTAACTTTATAAAATGTTTTATGTCTCAAATTCTCAAGAAGAAAAAGTTTGGAAACAGCAAAAACATTACCCAAAGAAAATGTACAATATATTAGGCTCTACACTAAGGAAACTTATCAAAGCAATACGGTTCAGAAGCTTACATTCCAAACAGCTGTGCATCATGTCTGAGGCCCTCTAGTGTCCAAAGAAGGAAATAATGATTAGAGTCAGTTAAAGAGGAAGGTAACTGAGAAGGGCGGGGCTTAATATTCGCTGGCTCATGAGAGATGGCAAGAATCTCCACATCTGCTCTGTTGACATTGGTTAGGGCTAGCTGTTTATGTGGAGAAGAGACAGTGGGCTTAGTGTTCCTGCTCTTTCTTTATACATGATTTTAAGTTAACCAAGGGCTCAACATGCTTCTGTTAACAACTGCTTATCTGATCAAGTATTAGCAAAACTATACCGATTTGCAGATTATAAATCTTCTCAGTCACTTAGAAGTATCTACTCTATCCTCACTCTGAATGATGTGAACACAGACACACACACACACACACACACACACACACACAGAAATGTACATGGCTGAGCACAGTGGCTCATGTCTGTTTTCTCAGCACTTTAGGGGGCCACGGCAGGAGAATCCCTTGAGCCTATGAGTTCAAGATCAGCCTGAACAACACAGCGAGACCCCGTTTCTGAAAAAAAAAAAAAAAAACCACAAAAATTAGCCAGGCATAGTGGTGTGCACCTGTGGCCCCTGCTACTCAGGAGGCTGAGGTGGGAGGATCTCTTGACTCTGGGAGTTCAAGGCCGTAGTAAGTGACGATTGCACCACTGCACTCCGGCCTTAGCAATAGAGAGATACCCTGTCTTAAACCCCCCCAAAATAAAAACAAAACCAAAACAAATGTACTGAGGTTTTGTCATTTACCAATAATGAAAAAATACAATCAACTCCTTTTCAATCTGCCATGTCCTTGAGATAATTTCCTACCCCAGGAACTGCTGAATTATTGAGTTAAGAGGATGGAGCAAGGAGTCCACGTTTAGATCCACAAAATGGCAATGGTGGGAAACATGAAGACACTGAGCAACTATGTATGAGAAACCACCAAGAAAGTGAATACAATTCAGAAACAGGAGATAAGTTCAAGGAAGACCAGCTTTATAATTTTAGCCCTGATAGGAAATAATATGAGAAATCTGAATACACACACAATGCTGTTTCTTAAGGAGCTGAGAAGAACATGAACTAGGAAAGAACTCAAATACATGGCACAGGTATTAATGCAGAACTTGAGGTAAATCAATGACATTCTACTATTCAACACTAAATAGGTTTTTCTTTCTTTCTTTCTTTCTTTTTTCTGAACTTCCTTCACCTCTTCCTCCATTTTCTAAAGCATTGTTCTCAAACTTTATAGGAGATTTATTAAAACATAGACTGCTGGGCCGTATCCCTAGTTTTTGATTCAGGGTAAAACCCAAGAATTTGGGTTTCTAACAAGTTCTCAGGTGCTACTGCTGCTGGCCTAGAAATCATATTTTTTAAACTACTGCTCTGTTTTAATATCTGTGTCTCTGTGACTCTGACTGACAATATCTGTCTGGAGAGTTCTGTTGAGAGGATCTGAGGCTGCTTTTAGGCTAAAACAGAGAGCCAGCTCTTCATATTCATGGTTTCTGCATCCATGTACTCAACTAATTTTGGATCAAAAATATCCAGAAAAGAAGATTACATCTGTATTGAACATGTACAGACTTTTTTTCTTGTCCCCATTCCCTAAACAATATAGTATAACAATTTACATAGCACTTACATTGTACTAGGTATTTTAAGTAATCTAGAGATGATTGAGATTATACAAGATTTTGTGCAAATACTACACCATTGTTTTAATGAGAGACTTGGCCATCTATGGATTCTGGTATCATGGGAGGTCTTGGGAGCAATCCCCTTCAGATACTAAGCGATGACTAGTTTCAGTTGATGAGCCCAATCTAACAGTCATAAGAACAGGCACCACTTCCCAGAAGCCACAAAGTAAGAGGAACAAAAGGAGTTCACGACGTATGATCCAAATAAATAAATGTAATTAATAAAGAAAATGTTGCTAAAAAAATAAACTTCAAAGTGAGATTTTGTTAATGTCTCGAATATTTGACAGAATGATTTGAAGCGACTGTGAAGAAAGGAAATCTTAAAGAAAACAATGCCAAATAATTAGAGGCAGAAAAGAGGCAGCTAAGACAAACGACGGGCCAGCAGAGTAAGTCAAAGGACTCACTATGCTCCTGTCCCTCCTTCCTTCAAAGACAGAGGGAGCAGCATAGGAGGTAAACAAATTGAGGTGGCCAAGTGACTTCTGACTTACCTCAACAGGAAGCTGATTAAACCGTGTCACTAAGCCATCTGCAGCTGCAGCTACACCAATAAGGGCCATGACCTTTTCTGGCCGTGCAATTGCAGCATGAAGCATAAGCCACCCCCCGAGGCTAGATCCAACAAGAATCTAAAAATAAAAAATAAAGTATTAGGTCTTTAGGATAGTATAGGGTATACATATAAAATAAAATATGTACAATAAAAAGTAAAATAATATATACTATTGGAAAGTAAAAATAATAGAATCATTTTAAATCAAATATCAAAACTGATTAAACATTCAAATTAAATTTAAGACAGAATTTCCCTCTTTTTGCCCAGGCTGGAGTGCAATGGCACAATCTCAGCTCACTGCAACCTCTGCCTCCTGGGTTCAAGCAATTCTTCTGCCTCAGCCTCTGAGTATCTGCGATTATAGGCGCACACCACCACACCTGGCTAAATTCTGTATTTTTAGTAGAGATGGGGTTTCACCATGTTGGTCAGGATGGTCTTGAACTCCTGACCTCCAGTAATCCACTTGCCTCAGCCTCCCAAAGTGCTGGGATTCCAGGCATGAACCACCACGCCCAACCAAATATTTTCATATCTAAAGAAAGACCTTAAATATGAGGTTATAGTCAGTAACTATGATCATACTTAACAAAAAGTCACCTGTGGCCCTTCAGCTAAGTCATCAATTATAGAAAGAACATCTTTTCTCCATTTCCCCACTGTGCTTTCCTCAAGGTTACCATCTGAACTTCCAACTCCTGAGTAATCAAACCTGGAAAAGAAGAAAAAAAATTATATTTGCTTCTTTAATTTTTAAGAAAGACAGCACCTTCCTCATTACTATAATGCTTATAGTAAAACATCACAGTCGGTATGTATTTTAGCAAATTCTATTGGCTTATTAACTTTCAAATATCTCCTATGTCCAATCGCTTTTCTCACCTTCTCCACTGCTACCAGCCTGGTCCAAGTCACACTGCCTCTCCACTGAACTAATCCAACAGTCTCCTAAAGTCTCCTGTTCGCATTTTCACACTCACAGTCTTCTATGTAGTAGAGTGAACCCTTCCACACAAAACCATGTCTTGCACACCCTCCAAAGGCTATCTATGATCTTTAAATCTGGAGTCCTTATCATACTTTGGTGCCTGATCACCTCTCTGATCCCATTTCTCATTGTCCCCCCCCCACCGCCAACTGAAGCCTCACTTTCCTTCTTGAAGTTTCTGTTTCATCACCTTTTCCTTCCACATGGCACACTCTCCTCCAGATATCCATGCAGATTGTTCCCTCACTTCACTCAGGCCTTCGGCTCAAATATTTCATCCTCAGCACAGCCTCCCATGACCACTCAACTATGAAAGCTGTGCTTCTTTCATCTCTGATTCTTCACTCTGCTTCCTTTTCCGCATAGCACTTATTATTGCTTGGGATACGTTTGATTATGTATGGTCTGTCTCCCACATTCGAATGAAAGCGCCGCATGGGCACAAGCTTAGTTTCAATGTATTCCTAGTGTCTACATCAGTTCCTTGCAATGGCAGGTGCTTGGTGTATATTTACTGTATTAACGGATGGGAAGGAGACCAGAATAAAATTCATCATCACCAACCCATCCATTTCTCCTTCCAACTTCCTGGTTATCTAGGCTCAAAGTCTTCCTGGTCTATGAATTTTACCTCTCCTTAAGGGTATCAAATCAATAAAAAATCACAGTGATATAAAGTATCACACCACACCCACAGGTTACCTAAACCCTAGTCAAACTGAACTACTCCTAATTCCCAATGACCCCTTTCGTAACTTAGAGCCTTGGCATGCGGTTCTGCTGCCAAGAATGGCTTCCTCCCCAACCCAAATTCGTAGTCATCCTTTGAGGAACCTTACTTGACATTTATGCCCCATTTAGTACCAGTTTCTTTGTATGTACTCAACACTTTTCATATTGTATTAAAGTCAAGTCTGTTTTTAGACATTCATCTCCCTCTGACTAGAATGTCAGTTCATTGAGGGCAGACTTGTTCCATTCAAGTTTGTTTTCCCAGGCTCCAGAATACTGCCTGCCCTATACCATCACCATTCGTTCTCCTTTCTTCTTATGTTCGTCCCTTTCTTTGCACTTTGGTTAAGTCCGGAATCTTGGGGCAGGTGTTTGTCATCTTAGACCTAGACTATCGCAGTAACCTTCTATCTCGTGTCTCTATGACCCTGTCTTTAAATAGAATCACTATATACATGTCAGGTTTTTTCTTTAACATTATATTGATGGAGCATGACCTTCAGTGCTCCCTGCAACATACAACATAGTGCTAGAGAACCTATTTCCAATCTTCAGAATAAGAACAGATTTTCAAAGGGTTTTGAGCATGAAAATAAAATCCAGTTAATTTGGTAAAAGAAATGATTAAATCCATATAATTGACCAAATTTCTGCTAATATACAGGTAGTCCAGAAGTTTTATATATAGTTGTATTTTCTAGAATTACTGAATGAACGTTAGTGAGTCACTCTTCTAAAAATTTAGATGGATAGAGTTTTAGGCTGTTAGTGCTAGAAAATAACTCAGAAGTTATCTCTAGACCAAGCTCCTTCTTTTGATGACAAACTTAGGTCCAATGTTTATTAACTTACTTGTCTTGTAATAGAAATTGCTGGAATTTATTGTAGAACCCATGCTTCTTGAATTCCAGGCTAATCTTTTTATGAAATCATACCATCTCTTCTGGAAAGTAGATACTGAATATATGACTGTTATAGGTAGACCTTATAAAAATATAAAGTTATTTACTAAAATAACTGTATGAAAAATTAGGAATTATAAAATCAAGCTTTAGTGAAATACCACCTATCCCTATTTATGCTTATACAAAATCAAATTACAGGAGAGGGAAGAGAAAATTCAGCAGAAATTTGTGTTATATAATTCTTTTAAACACACGGATTACTTTTAGATAAACAGTGATCAAATAAGTCCTTAAGTCCCCCGTGGAAAATGATAATATAAGAGACTGTATGAAAGCAACTAGTGTACCTGTTTGTCGTGAGCTTAGTTACCACTACTTCTCTTAAGACGTCCCTTCGTGCCAGGGTTGTCAGCGTGGCACAAAGGCCTTTAGAAAAAGGTCTATTAAAGGTTGTTTTAAAAATTACTCTAAATCACAAGGTGCAAGTTTACAGGCCATTAAAATAATGTATAAAAATGCTGGCATCTACTTCAACTGGTTAGAACAGAAGTGATTCTCCACGGTTGTGCTAACGGTAGCAATTATTTTCTCAGTAATGTGTTGTTCCTACCTTATGTAGGCGTGACCTAGAGATTTGCAAAACTCCTCAATCGCCAATGCTTTTGTACCATTCATATTAGAAATATAGCCAGGGATGAAGATAATTCCTGGACTTTTGCCTTTTAGCCTCTTATAAGCCAGTTTTGGAAGATCTGGTCGATTAAGGAAAGAGAGTGACGTCTTTTGTCTGCAAGCTAAACAAAGTACACAAAACGTAAACTATGGTTTGCAAATTCGGTCGTTGAAAAACCATATATATTTTCAATCCTAACTTTCTTATCTTAATGAATTGATGTAAAATGCTATTTCCATTTAATAGGAAAAACAAAAAGTCAAAGTACTAAAGTAATAAGTCTATGCATGAGATTTCTAGTTTTAAAATCGCGCCACATCAGTACCTTCTTTGAGCAAGATCCAACCTTGATTCTTCCAAAATACACAATGAGGTAGCAATTTCAAGGCAACAAAAGACAGAGACTAATCAGAAAACATCCTCCTGTCACTACTTTATCATCTATCCTAAACAGCAGCAATCAACATTCAGATTTATCCGCAATAGTTTCAGCCCTCTCTTGTGAGATTTTTGGCCTCATTTTAAAATTTATTTTTTGTTTGATTAGTTTCACATCCCCTATTTTCTTTTCTTTTTTTTTTGAGCAGAGTCTCACCTTGTCACTCAGGCTGGAGTGTGATGCAATCCTACCTTATGGCAGCCTGGACCGCCTCGACTTCCCGGCTCAAGCCATCTTCCTGCCTCAGCCTCCCCAGTAGCTGCACTACATGCATGTACCAGCGCACCTGGCTAATTTTTATATTTTTTTGTAGAGACAAGGTCTCTCTATGTTGCCCAGGATGATCTCAAACTTCTGGGCTCAAGTGATCCTCCCACCTTGGCCTCTTAGTGCTGAAATTACAGGTGTGAGTCACTGTGCCTAGCCTTGCATCCCCGACTTTCTTGGGGATCAGGGAAGATACAGGTTTGGTCCGCCCTTGGAAAATTGTTTCAAAGGAAGAGGTGCTGTGCCCTTTTTATTACTGACTCCCATCCACCCACCTCAACCAAGAAATCATGAGCCATAGTAAGAACTCATAATTTCATAACAGCTGAGGTGGGTTCAATGAGCAGTTTCTTTAAAAATAACATATTAATAGTACATTTTTGGAAAGAGATTTCTTATAGGCCTATGCAATCACTTTGCATTTTATTTGTTGGTTTGGTTTTCTGTAAATGGAACACACAGACTTTAGTGTAATTTAAGTATAACAGTACAACTGATGAACTTTATGAGTATTCCATTTCATCATTTTTCAAATTTCCCCCATTATAAAATCCATACTTGCTCTTAAGAAACAAGAAGATTTTTTTTTTTAAAGGGTCGTTTATAATCCCACCTCTTTTTTCCAAAGACACTAGGTTTGTATACTACCTTAGGGTCTTTGGACTAACAAATTTTCTTTTTTTATATTAAATGAAGCCGTTGTCCACTTGAAAACTTCTGTCTTGAGAAGAGACTCTATGTGTGCTGCTAAAGTTTTCCCCATTTTGTAATTAAGAAGCTGATTTTTAAAAAACTTAACTGAAGGCCTTAAAGCTAACCTTTTTACATGTAAGCTTGTTTCAAAGTATAGAGAAAAACGCCAAACTTAACTTTCGGTAAGGGCGAGTTATGTTGACCCACTGATTGTGTCAGCAAAATTGTTCATTTCCCATCATCTCACCTGAGCACGAAAAAAAATCCTTACTATTCTTTTCCAGAAATCACCTCCCAAAACAGTAATTTCCCCAAGATAATTATAATTTATTTAATGTACCTTCTAAGTAGGCAGATTCATATAATTATATCCATAAATCATCTTTGAGCATAAGCATTAGTTCACAGCCTGGTGCATGGGTGCTCAATGAATGCTTGCTAAATAGATGAAATAATATTATACTCTGGTTAATGAACTGACATACTATGCTTTGCAGGAGTATGTGCATGTGTAACATGCCCTGTGGTTGTGTACAATTAAATGCAAGTTAAACTGATTATACAAGTTTAAACATTGTAACTCCACACAAAACATCTCTGCCATGACATTAATTACCACTCCAAGCACCATGCATCTGACAGCTGCGTGGCAACGGCGTGAACAATACACAAAGCCAAAAAACAAAAGCGTGTAATTTAAGTACTATATATACATATACGAGGCTCTCTGATTTTTGGCCCAAATTCTAGTATCCTCTGTGCAGTAATGATTACGGTTCTGTCACCGAGTGGGTGCAGCAAGAAGGCTGCACTAGAAACTGAAGTTACGGGGCGTCTACACTTTTTACAAAGGACACGCCTCACATCGTTAGGTTCCTCGACTCAAAGGAGAGTCTAAGCATTCGAGGAGTCGCCATCTACAGACTCCTCGAAGTAACTAAGAATCAAGTGCATTAAACGCTCATTTTAATTTTTCCTAGTGTTGGCGTTTAATGCAGGGGAGGCAGGCAGGGAGCAGGAGTTCTTTCTTTATTTATTTATTTTTTGAGACGGGAGTTTTACTCTTGTTACCCAGGCTGGAGTGCAATGGCGCGATCTCGGCTCACCGCAACCTCCGCCTCCTGGGTTCAGGCAATTCTCCTGCCTCAGCCTCCCGAGTAGCTGGGATTACAGGCACGCGCCACCATGCCCAGCTAATTTTTTGTATTTTTAGTAGAGACGGGGTTTCACCATGTTGACCAGGATGGTCTCGATCTCTTGACCTCGTGATCCACCCGCCTCGGCCTCCCAAAGTGCTGGGACTACAGGCGTGAGCCACCGCGCCCGGCCAGGAGTTCTTTAAACTGCACGGCGTCCAATGCCAGCGAGGGCCCGGGATGCCCAGAACGCCGCAGGGCGCGGGAGCGCTCCCCCCACAGCCTGCGCTGGAACTGTACACCGCGCCTAGAACTGGGGTGCCGAGAAACGGGGAAGAGCGTTTTTGAACCGGGCGCCAAAGACGCACTGCACAGATACAGGAACTGACGGAACCCGGGGCGTTCGGAGGTACGTATCCTCCTCCCGCCTTTCGGACACTGACCTGGGAGCCACCGTGGCGCCCGCCGAGGCATCGGTGCAAGCAGCGTGTTGAGGCCACGGTGGGGACCGAAGGCGACAGCTGCCCAGCCCCAGCTCCGACAGGGTACCCAGGCTGCCACAGCGGCCGTGCGCGCAACCGCCATCTTCCCAGCTGTCCCGGCGAGCCGCAGTGTCCCACAGAAGCGACCCCTACGCACCGGAACTGAGACTGCGCATGTGCCGAAGGCTGGAAGGCGGAACTTCCTGACGAGCGCCCCGCACGGGTTTCAGCTGGCGAAGAGCGCGCATGCGCAGAGCGTCGTGGCGCGTGCCCTTCCTTTGGACTGTCGGTTCCACCTGCGGCAAGGTTTGGCTTAGGGCCTTTGGGACGTTTCGAGTGGCGCCGGGAGGCTGCCCTATCAGCGGGCTGATAGATTATAATAAAGAGCTGCAAGCTTGGAAAGGAACCCCATCCAGCGGTCCTAGATCGGAAGCCGCAGTCCCGCGACCGGATGGCAGTTTTAGCCAGTACCAGAAATGCTCCCGGTATCTGACATTAATCTCACCTGTATTACCTGGAATGGAATCGGACACTCCCTGCTCCAGACCCGTATGACTGATTAATGAAATACTGAATTATCTCGGTCCCTTCTTTGTGCTATATGCAAAAGTAAATTTCAGTTAAAAAAAATGATTTCAACGGAAGAATACAACTGAGAGGGTTAAATAAATTTTAGGAGAATATTTTATAGTCCGGAGATAGAAGGGACTTTCTTAACCAAGATTTCAAACCCCAAGAGCATAAATAAAAAAAAAATTTGTATACGAATTTAAACGTTTTGAATGGCAAAAGACACCTTAAGAGCCCAGAAAAATGGATTTTGTAGCATAGCTACATTAATATTTCTAGTTCAGCCTGCTCCTAGAAATAAAAAATATAATTCCAATAAAACTGGCCAACAACTATGAATAGGCTCCTCATACAAGGAAACATGATGCTCAAACTCACTAAGTGAAAAACTAGAATTTAAAAAAGAAAACCATTTTCCCCCATTCAGCTGGCAAAAAAGAAAAAGAATTGGTAATGAGACACAGACACTTAGGTACGATTGCTAAGAAGGCGAATTGCAAAACTCTGTTGTCAAGTAATATGGCCACATCTATTACAATTTTAAAATGTGCATCATTTCCAATGCCTTTTAACACAGTGGCACGAGTTTGTGACTATCCTATAGAAAACAACACTAGTTCTTAAGACTGCATATTATCTACTATAGCGCCATTTTTAGAGGCAGAGAGAAGAAAAAAAAACTGGGAATGGCTCACAGTAGAAAAATAGTGGAATAAATATGTAGTGACAGGGTTTCCAGACTCCAGCTTTCAAACAAATTCCTGGGGCCTCAAGCATTAACCAGGAAGGTTTTATTTAGTGTTTCCTATTTAAAAGTTATGATGGCTTGTGTAATGCTTTGAGTAAATGTAAGATAGTAAAGTAACTTTTACTATCCTGGTTATAAATTTGTGGGGCAGTAATTGGTACCAGAGTTAAAGGCAAAGTTTCGATATAGTGAATCCAGCATGTGTTTGCCATCTGGAGAACCTGGACTGTTGGAACAGTCTGGAACAGTTAGAGAAATAAAGACTGAATAGATCTCTCTTGAGAGGTGGGATGCCTCTCATCTACTAATGACATTAGTAAGGACAGCAACAGCCGGGCGCGGTGGCTCAAGCCTGTAATCCCAGCACTTTGGGAGGCCGAGACGGGTGGATCATGAGGTCGAGAGATCGAGACCATCCTGGTCAACATGGGGAAACCCCGTCTCTACTGAAAATACAAAAAAATTAGTTGGGCACGGTGGTGCATGCCTGTGATCCCAGCTACTCAGGAGGCTGAGGCAGGAGAATTGCCTGAATCCAGGAGGCGGAGGTTGCGGTGAGCCGAGATCGCGCCATTGCACTCCAGCCTGGGTAACAAGAGGGAAACTCCGTCTCAAAAAAAAAAAAAAAAAAAGTAAGGACAGCAACTTAAATTCAGGACATACTCCAAAAGATGCTGAGCTATGTTGCCCATTCTCCATTACACCTGTTGTAGACTCTAAGGGACAAAATCACTATGGTGATGCCTGATGCATGTCATTTTATCATCCCTTACATCTTCTTTCTTTTTTTCCGAGGTGGAGTCTCATTCTTGTTGCACAGACTGGAATGCAATGGTGTGATCTCAGCTCACTGCAACCTCCACAGCAGCCTCCTGCCTCAGCCTCCTGAATAGCTGGGATTACAGGCACCCTTCACCATGCCAGGCTAAGTTTTGTATTTTTAGTACAGACGGAAGTTTCACCATGTTAGCCAGGCTGTTCTTGAACTTGTAATCTCAGGTGATCCACCCACCTTGACCTCCCCTGTGCTGGAATTACAGATGTGAGCCACCATGCCTGGCCCATCCCTTTAAGAAAACAGGATAAGTAAACAGTCCTAGCAATCCCCAGCAATAAATGTTATCTGTGTAAACAGACAACAATAAGACATCAGATTTTTTCAGGGTTCATTTCATTTTGAAAGCAATCAGATGTAACCAGGGATACTTCTATTGAAATTCTTCAATTTATAGACGACAAACCCTAACGTTAGCACACAACCATTTTTACGTAGTTCCTACGACTGTCGTCTGCAATTAATTCATACTCCATCATACCACAGATGGGTAACTTCAAAATAAGAGATGAGTTGATTTTCAAATGTGAAATCAGGTCAACATTTTAATCTAAACTCAATGTATTTAACACACACATTTAAGAGGCCTACTACATCATGCAATTTGATTAGAACACCTTTGCCGTCCTATGAAGAGATTACAGGGCAGGGATTACATTAACCAACAAAATCTTAACAATTACAGTCTTATATCACTACAGGGTTTCAAAGTGATCACTGCAAAATCAGATTTTAGAAATGTCTTCCACAGTTACGATTTTTGTCCTTCACTGTTCAAGTAAAACACTGTGTCATCCAGTTGCAAAATATTATTGACAACATGTATATGTGTATACGAACCACACTGCAAATTAACAAAAGAATTGTACCCAAAGTTTAATGAAGAGACACTTCTAATCTAATCATTTAATCTTGTAAGTAATATCACTATTCTCTACATCTATTTATTTGCGGTGTTTTAGGAAAGAGCACATTCGTACTTTCAAACATGCCAAACATGATGAACTAGAATAAATGCGCTTGAAAAACCATTATGAAAGAGACTTGCCTGAAGTCATTTCATCTGACAAAAATCGACTCAAATAAAACAAAGGCTAATTGTAAAAAAATACATAATATAATAATGCATTCTAGAGAATGTTAAGTTGAACTTCATTTGCCGTTTTGTAGAACTCACCACTTCTGCAGATAAGTATTTTAATTGGTCTGTTCTTTGGTGAAAACAGAGCTGTGATTTCATACTTATGTCAAGGGAGCAGTTAGCAGGTGTGCCCCACAACGAAAAGAAATCAGACAATCTAAAGGACACTGGCTACTGGTTGCCCTTATCCTCAGCACCAGGAATGGAGAAATCTTCAGCAAAACAAGCTCCTAACATCAGATATTCTCTTTATTTAAAGTTGTTCAACATGACAGAATGCCTGTTGCATAACATGGCTTTTTTTTTCTAAAACAAACAGCTTTTTGCTTTCTTCTACAAAAAGTGGTTTACTAAATACATAGTAGCTTATACCAGTGGTGACAGTGCAAAGTCAATTTCCTGGGCATTTGATGGCACTGACATACCACTGTGAGATATTTGGAGCAATACTAAATGCACTTCCTGACTTGCAGTCAGCCCAGGTCTTTGGTTTTGGTGCAGTACTTAAAAATTAAGGCAAAACTCCTCCCAAAATATATTTCCCTCCAAGCCCTTATTTGCTTGCTTACAAAATAACTGTCAGCAAAATGCTACCTTTTTTGAAAAGCCAGTTGATTACCAATAATGTCAATGCCAGTGGTTTGGGTGCTAAAGGTATTCCGTATTTCCAAGTACATATAGATATTTTCTAACCTGTTTATTTCACTGAAACCAAAAGTTGATTAAGAACAGTTGATATGAAATGCTCGTTTATCAAAATGGTGTTTTCTTTCTCATGGGAGCTTCAATTCTTTTGCTATTTATTGTCAAGGTTTGTATTAAAACCCTTTCTTTGTTACAAACAACTTCTCTTGATATGTAAGGAGTTCTGAGTATATACAGCTCAAGCGCTGGATCTGTTGGGTTTTCTCTTCTGGGATTGAATATGGCTTCATTCTTGTAGGAGATTATTGCAGTCTGCCCTGAAGTGGACCGTCGCCTCAGTTCACTACAACAAGAAGTGAGTGTAACCTTCTGCCCCGGTAACTATGACATCCATCCAGATCCGCATGGCTTCCGGCGATGGAGCTACCATGTAATAGATTCTGTCATGAGTCTTGACGCTAAAGGTGAGTAACGGATTTGGACTCTAAAATTCAAAAAAGAAAAAAAGAATATAAAACAAACATCTTAAAATACAACATTAAATAACACAGACATGTGCAGTCTTCTTCAAAATTTCCAATTTATTCAATTTACAAAGGCATTACTTTTGCTCTAATATAACTTGCACCCCCACCCCAGAGCCTTTTTCAGGACTGACCATTTTTCTGGCCTTTCTGCACAAGAAATCTCAGACAGAGCTCATGAATTATTTCAGCAGCTGATTTGTACAGCTCTAGCAGGGTACCCAGCTGAGAGTAGGGGCTTAATAAATAGTAGCTGTTATTCTTAGCCCTACTAGGCCCCCTCTTAACTATATGGTAGCTTCTTTTTAGAACCCTGGCAGAGTAACTCTTCAGGGCTTCCCAAGCCATTCCGTCCAGGATATTTCCTCAATTTGCTATGACATTTTTTTCCCTTAAAAAGATCAGCCACCCACTTACTTCACGTTTACCTTTCCAGCACCATCCTGATCATATCTGTCTGTTAAATCAGAACATCAACTTCAAACTGCTTAGACTCCAAAAATATTTTTTCCTTCTTAATTATGCATTCAAATTGTAGGAATTTAGCAAACTGATATTTACCTTATTAGCATTCTTGAGGTGATCATAATACACTTCTTCAATGGCTTGAAAGTATATGACTCCTTTCAATTTAGTTTCATGCTTGTCTGCAAAGACAGATGAGTGTTAAATACTTTATCACCACTGAGGAACAGAAAAAATAATCTCATTACAATTATAATCATTAAAATATTTACAAAGTATTTAATTATCTAAGATTAACTCAGAGAACTTGGGCTAGTGCCTTAGGCCTCTTCTATCTATATTGGAAAAATTAAAAAAGCAATAAAATTACTAGCTGCAAACCAAAGAGACTAGATGACTTTGCCCAAGGCTGTCCAGCAGATCAGCAGTCAAAAGAAAACCTAACATGCTGACTCTCAAGTTGGCACGGAAAGTATAACCACGAATGGCACCAAGACAAATGACTTCTCCACATTTTCCAAGACTATCTTTGTCATGAAAATATTAATATGCAGATCTGTTGTAATAAAACTTTTACAAAGTGCTTTTTGACTTGTTATTCAAAATAATTTTCTACCTATATTTATTTCCTATCAAATTTCTTATTCAGGGTGCTTGATTTTTCCTCATTTTCAGCAAAGCTTTAGGCAAATAATTTATTGTCCTTTCCATGTAACAATTTCCAAACTGTTTTCAAAGACTTCATCAGATTTACCATAAAAACAAAGAAAACCAAAAACAACGAGAACACGAATCAAACATATAGCACCACTCCGTGATAGTTCTTGACATATTTTGTAATTTAAACTCTGCAAGGATCACAGTTCATGTCAGCATAGTAAAGAATTTTAACAGCATGAATGAGGAGGCAGGGAAAGAGACTCTATTATACCCTAGCAGTGGAAGTGCACATAGCCTCTTTTGGAAGACAGTTGGTGAAGCAAACACAATTTAAAATGCAAAAATCCTCTTACTAAGCAATTGCACTTCCAAAACGTTACTGTATGTAAGATCTCACGCATGTGCAAATAAATGTACATGGATGTGTGTTTGTTGCGACACAAGGTTGCAGAAGATCTGCTTGAGCTCTAATAGAAGACTGACTCAATTACAGACCAGCCATACAGTAAAATCTACAAAGCTACTGAAATGATGGAGGCAGATATGTATCTGCTCCTAAGAAAAAAACCCTTGAAATACTATTATATGAAATAGGATATGACTAGAATGAATAATTCCGTCCCAAGTATATAAAAGAAAAAATATATATACATTTTAAACATATATAAAAATGAATAGAGAAAATCTGAAACAGTATTTCAGGCTTAACTGTGAGAGATCAGAACTTTTATGATGGTAAAGAGATTAATTTCATCATAAAAATGTTTTGTTATATTTTGTATTTTTTACCAGTTTAATGTCCCTTTTTCTAAAAACAACTACAAAATGCTAGTCTAAAAAATAATGGCCCTGAAAAATTCAGCAGGGAGTAAAACTATTTAATTGCATTTCATCCGGAATATCCTAACCTATTTGCCAATGGAGCATATTTTTTGTTTTTCCTCTTCCTTGGGAAACGCTGTTCTAACTGATACCATGTTCAGTAAGTCTCAGTCAGTTTCTGTGAAAGAACAAGGTCAACGTGTCTCTCAAACATTTGCTGGAAATGATACTGTAGTAATTCATGAGAATACAGTAATACTTTGTTTTCTGAAAGCAAATGTAAAACAAAATCTGGAGATAAAAGTAAATCTTGTCAGTGTTTCAAGCAAGCAGAAGGAAACTTTAGTTCGTAGGGCACTTCATAGGAGAAAGAACTCTGAAAAATATAAGCCTCACAGCCACTTTATGAGCTAAGAGAAGCAATAACACTATTGTAAATCAATGAGATGACGCTACCCATTCTGCCTCTCTCGGTATTATCCCACCAGTTTGCAGACATATTTTCTTGGACTCAGTTTTCTTTAGAGACTCTCCTAAAGATCCCAGTGAATAAGCAGGAGGCCAAGGACAGAGGCCAGGGCCATGAACAACAGAGTCTTGGGACTTTACCACTCAGTGTTCACATTTGCAGCTCCTGCACAAGCACATGGCCTTTTCCCTCGCTGACAAGCAGAAGGGACGCGGCTCCTGTGGGGTCAAGTCCAGCCTGAACTGCAGTCTGGATGACTGCCTCGGGACTGATCTATTCCTGTGCCTGTTGTGTATGGGAAAGGCGGGGTGGGGTGGGAGGGGACAAAGCTGATGGGTGATAGCTATAAACAGAGTTGAATGGCAGCATTTGCCCAACTAGGTCTCACTAGCCAGTTATGTCATAAATACATATTAAAAAGCTGAATGAAATATAATTTCCGTCTTTTTTTAAAAATTAGGGTTCTGGGTAATTTTTCATATACCAAGAAGGTTTTGGTATTTTTTAAAAAATCGAAAATCAGTCACCAGAAGTTTCGATTTGGAAAGACACATTTACATGGGTCTGAAGCTTGGAGCTCAGGTTTGAAGCAGTTGGCCAGGACATTCAACCACTCACCTGGCTGATAGATAAGGGAATGAAATAAGGCTCACAGAGAACAGGAGCACGGAAGAGTGAAACAGTTTTGTCTGAAGTTCTTTTAAAGCTGTATTTTTGGAACATTCTGGGTGAGGTTTTCTGAAGGGACTACCACATCGTACAGTTTTGTTTATGCAGGGTGCAGACACCAAATTATATTAACTGAAGAAAGTTGCTCTAGATGTTTATAAAACCCAAGGTCAAAAAGTCGTAGAGAGGCAAATCAGGGGACCTGGGAGGGCCGGCCATGAGCTTCAGGCACTGACTTCTGCCGTAACTGGAAGCTCACTCAAAGAGCTCCTCAGTGAAAGGCAGGCATTCCCCTACTGGCTCCTCACCCAAATCCTGGGGCTCCTGAGCCACGCTTTCCTTTCCTCCACAGGCTGCTTGGTTTCTCACACTTCCCCTTATAAATAAACTGACCTCACTGGATCGATTAAATGATTAGACTATTATTCATAGTTATTACATAGATACATTTTATAACTCCTGGTGATGCTCATGAATACCGACAGTCACCCCAAAGCAGGTTTTTCCCGTAACATTTTGTACAGCACCACTTTTTTAGCAGCTGAAAAGAAAGCAGAGCTTATACTGCACTAAAAATGGACATGTTTCATGTGTGATCCAAGAGGAAATAGGTTCTTAATAAGTATGCCAGTTACATTCATAGTCCTGCATTTGTTTAAGATCCAGTAGGGTATGTTTCTTGTCAGCCAGTATTTAAGAATCCAAAAATATTTCAGGCACTTAATAAATACTACTGATCACTAGTTTGCCAATGAGCTTTACTCTCTGTGCTTAAAAGATCATTCTAGTTTATGAATTATAGTTGACTGATGTTTACGGCTACGTGTGTGTGACTAAAATGGGACACATGACAATCCATCACTCAGAAACCCCTTTTCTTTTCCTGTACGGTGGTTTAAAAGGTACTATCTTTTCTGATCCCACCCTATAGTGATAGTACTTCCAGTATAATATTGTGATGTCTCATAAAATGCAGGGAACATAAGCAACCGGTTACCCAAAGAACTGATAAAAAACAGAAAATAGCAAATAAAAGGCAATATTTTGATCTAAAGAATAAATTTTACTTAACATTTATTGAGACCTAAGTTTACTTCAGAAGTAACATAGACTTCATGCTTTTTAAAGTAACATGTAATGTGTATCATTTCTAGAAAGGAAATTCATATCATATGAACTACACAATCTAAATATAAGATAATGTATACACATCCGATATTGCCACTAATTCTGCTACGTATCAGCCTACCTATTTACACTGCATTCCAATTGCCTCCACTCTTTAACAGAGGGTTCCTCATTTGAGTACATGGCCTACATTTTTTTTATCACCCACCTGCATAATAAGAGAATGTTCGCTTGTTCCGATCAAAAACAAACCAGCGTTTCTTCCACGTTTTAATTTTCCCTCCCATTTTGATGAGGAATCCTCGGCAAGCCTTCTCTGTGATTGACACGTGGTAACAGGTGTCGATGTTGTGACCGGCAGTCTCCACATGGCTCCGCAAGTCGAAGTCTTCCTTCCGGACAGGCAGGTAGCGTGTCAAAGGGCGAGCCTGGGAAGTGCAAAACCCACTGCATCTATAGCTGATCATTGGTTTTGTTTTAGGTCACACACGTTGAGAAGCAGAAATTAACTGTGAAAGCTAAGCTTTAAAATATCCACATAGTTAAAAGAGCTTAAGACAAAGCACTTATCATTTGGAGTCTAAAAAGTGGATAGTATTTTCAGAAAGATGCTGTACTATGTAGGGGAAGAGACAGATACACCCAGGACCATCGGTTCTGTCCCTTAAGATGGGCATTTATCTTAGCTTAGAAGACGTAGTGCAATCTTAACAAACACAGAGTAAGGTCTGTGCTGCTCCCTGCAGATGAGGGACCCTCCACTGTAAAGTTTCCGGAAGTCATCCCTGCCACAACATAATGATCATTCTCCGTAAGTGATCTCCAGCACGACATGATCGACTGAACACTATTTAGTCAGTACAGCCCCACATGATCCCCCAAAACCATACTTGTCAGTTTACATACAGAAACTGACAACAGAAATTGTCTAAATAGACATTGAAGGCAGAGATCTATGTTTTGAAAAGTCAAGCTAAAATAAAGAAAGGAGAATCAGAACTGGACCTAATGTAATGAACTGTCTGGGACCAGATGCCAAAGGGAAGTAGTTAGGTGTCTTTTTTGTAATGTTGCTCAGGTTGGCTGTGAACTCATGGCCTCACCTCCTCAAGCGCCAGGACACTGGCCGGAGCCACCTTGGCCCCCCGAGGTGTCTTTTTTGTTACTGACGGCCGGTATATAAGTTCGTCCGATTTGGAAGCATCTATCACCGTGGGTGATGGTTCTAAAACCGTGTCTTATTTTACGCTGTTAAATAATCCCACCTCTTTGCCTTGGGAAATGACCTAATCATAAACTTGGAGGCAAAACTTACATCAGGATTAAAATAGAATTGTGTTTTTTCGTTTGGCTTCAGATAGTAAACAAGCATGGATGACTTTCGCTGCAAGTCAAAATTTGGTAGAACGTTGGGCACAATGAAATAAAATAGACAAATTTTACTTTCTACTTTTCCTTCAATACTTAACCTTTGATTGTGTGATACTTTGGTTGTGACAGACGCTACAGGCTTACTGATTCCTCAAAACACACAAAGTCTTAAAGACAGTCTGCTGCGGTGGCTCACGCCTGTAATCCCAGCACTTTGGGAGGCCGAGGCAGGTGGATCACGAGGTCAGGAGATTGAGACCATCCTGGTCAACACGGTGAAACCCCGTCTCTACTAAAAATACAAAAAGTTAGCTGGGCATGGTGGCACGTGCCTGTAATCCCAGCTACTCGGGAGGCTGAGGCAGGAGAATTGCCTGAACCCAGGATGTGGAGGTTGCGGTGAGCTGAGATCGCACCATTGCATTCCAGCCTGGGTAAGAAGAGCGAAACTCTGTCTCAAAAAAAAAAAAAAGACAGTTCTAACTGCTATGCCATCAAACTGCCAGCAACCACAAAGAATAACGATATTTTTTGCCTTTGAGTCCAGTGAGCCTTGATAAAATGGATTTGAGCTTTAAATTACATAGTACTTAACAAAACTTTATGTTAGTTCCTCAGAAAACATATTGTGTAAGCAGCTATAGTGACAAGAACAGAGATTCAAATGCTGTGATGACCAAGATAAGACATTAAACAAAATGTGTGGTTTCTCCAAATTTTGCTTGAGTACAACAAGCTTGTGCACAGGAGTTGAGGACTAGCGTAGCAAAGGGAACACACGTGGCGATACAGTGTTTAGAAGCAAACCACCACCACCACCACCAAGACACTGGGCTTAGTGAAAAACTACCCTGCTCCAGAGTATTTGCTTGTAAAGATGGCTTAATAGAACCTCTTCCCTTCCCCAAGCAAAGGTTTCAGTTCAGATATTGTATTTGTTTTCCCCAACAAATCCAGCTGCATTTTTAAAAGCTGCTCAAAAAAGATTCTGTTTGTAAAATGTGCTCCAAAGGACGGGTGGAAGAAGAGTTGCTGCTCCTGGAAAAATATTCCATGCATGACTAAAGAAAAGTGTCATTTGCTTGGTGCTTCCCTAAGAGTTTTGAAATGAACTCAAATTTTTTTTTTTGCACAGAAACACACACTCTTCTCTCCTTTTTTGAGACAGAGTCATGCTCTGTCACCCAGGCTGGAGTGCAATGGCACGGTCTCGGCTCACTGCAACCTCCGCCTCCCGGTTTCAAATGATTCTCCTGCCTCAGTCTCCTGAGTAGCTGGGACTACAGGCACGTGCCACCGTAGCAGGCTAAGTTTTATATTTTTAGTAGAGATGGGTTTCACTGTGTTGGCTAGGCTGATCTTGAACTCCCGACCTCGTGATCTGCACACCTCGGCCTCCCAAAGTGCTAGGATTACAGGCATGAGCCACTGCACTTCGCCGCACACTCTTCTCTTAAACCTTAAGTGTCAAGTGCTAAATGCTCAGTGCCCAGGAAAGCATCCTGACGCAGGATAGCTGTCTCCTAGGAACTGCCACCAGGGGGCAACCTGCCCTTATCCATTCAGATCAACCGACCAACCTGCGCCCTTTGTTTCTCCCTTATTTTTACTTCCTTTTCTATTAACTTCTGCCTCTGGCTAGTTTCTTCCAGTAATCGTTTTTCCAGGATTTCTCGGCGTCGTTTTTCTTCTTCCAGGGCTCGTTTTTTGGCTTCCATTTCCCGTTCCTAAACGTTATGCATAAGAATGATTATTTTAATATATACTAGACAATTCTTGGTTTGTAGACTAGTCTCTTATAATATGTAACTTACAAGAAAACAACTCATAATCATGCCTGGTATAGCTTCCAAAATCATCGTCTCCAGAAGTGCAACTACTAAATTTAATTAACAATTAGATTTTGGTCTTCAGTGAAAATCCAGCTTGTGAATATATTCAGTCATTTCATCATTTCATATTAACCAGCAACTCTCCCATTTTAAATAAAAAGCCTCACAAGCTGTCCTCGGCACTTAGCACGTGACTTAGCCTGTCTTTCACCTGCTGTCTCCTAACCGAAGGCCATGCTCCCTCTAATTCCTGTTGTTGTGCTGAGGTTCCCGGCTGAAGGTCACAGAGGAAGCACATGGGGGAGTGTGTTCTTTAGGGCAGGATGCAAAGGCATTTTGGGGGGATTCCTAAGGAAGTGAGACTCTGGCTTGAAATACAGTCATAGTAATGTGGGATTTTAAATATTACAATAGTGCGGTTAGCACAAGCTGGGAAGGAAGAAATAATGCATAAAGACGTAGCATTCCTCCCTGCTCCTTGGCAGGAACATAAAGCAGCCATCAAAAAGAAAAAAAATACAACACAAAGTGTTCATTTTGGTCTATGTCAATATATATATTTCAAGTTATGGAAAATCCACTCCAGCAGAGAGCCTTAGAAATTCTCTCCCTAACATTTTATTTTTCAGATAAGAAAATGAAAGGCTGAATGATTATTCCAAGATCACACAGCCCCTTGAGGAGTATTGCCTGATGCCACATGCAGGGCTCCTGCACCAGCATATCACAGACCCCCGGCATGAAAAGATGAAGCTTACCCTGGATTCAAGCAGCCGCGTCTTTTCTGCATGAGCCTGCTTCAAAAGTCTCTCCATTTCTTCTATTCTAGCAATATTTGAAGTGCTGGCACTGAATCAAACACCAAAGCCTTTTAAGAATATTGGTTTAGACTAAGAAGTCTCACTGATACACACACACGCACGCGCGCGCGCGCACACACACACACACACACACACGGTCAAGGGAGGTGCATGACAAAATCCAAGCATTTATAATTTAAAGAATGTTACTTACAGGTCATTGGACTGGAGAGGCAAATCAACTCAACTCTGAAAACTGTAGGTGACACTGACTTACCTCCGGTTCAGGAGACAAAATATAGGCAAGCAAAATAATGCTAACGCTTTACTCATAGGTATATGAACCAAAACCAAATCTTACATAAGTGTGACTTCTAAACGCTTCCTCCAAAGTCTAAAAATAATGGCCCCATGAGAGTCCTTGCCATTAGTTTAATGACTTAAAGGAATCAGACCACCAAGACTATCACCAATGTTCTATATAAATGACACCTAATGTTGGGAGTCATTTTATTCCGCTGGGGAATATGTATTACGAGCTGCTTTGCTGCTTTTTGTTGTCCCTTTATATGGGTGGACACTTTATTTCTTAAATCATGATGCCAATTAAAACATGACTTCTCCTAGAGGTGCGATGGATGGATGGCAGCCAGTTTTGGAAAGAGTACCCCTCATGAACCAATGAGAAAACTGTATAAAGAGATTTGAGAGCTTCAAAAGAAATGATGGGAAAGAGTGTCGCTCAAGTGGTAAAAGGATGAAACCAAAGGGTGTGAAAGATGCAAGGACAGTCCGGGTAAGAAAAAGAAGAGGGAAAACTTGAAAGTGTTTAACGCAAAACAGGAACTCTTATTTTTCCCTTGCTTACATTCTATTTGACTGTTCTGGAAAAGAGAGACTGTAGCTCAGATCAAAGTGTATTTACTCTGCTGATTCCGCTGTGGGGACCATATGCTGTTTCTAATGCATGTGTCCCTGTATACTCATCTAAGTGCCTGTCTTCTTTACAAGACTCCTGTGAGGACAGACAGACTTTTGTGCCTGTGTCTCTGTAGCATAAAACCTGGCACAGAGTAGGGATACATGTTTGTTAGACACGTTCATATAAAAATAAATTCATTAAAAATTCACATAAAAATGAAGAACCAGAGCCCTCTTGGTTATAGATAATTATTAATATAGTATTCTCAAATTACATTTTGGAAATCAAACCTAGGACAGTTTAAACCTAGGGCTAAGAGTTCTACTGAAGAGAACACAGGGCGTACAGTTTATCCTAAAATCAGTACCGACAGCCCCATTACAAATCATATTGACTGAGGAGAGAACTGTCCTAGGAATATCAGATCCTTGGCTGGACACAGTGGCTCACACCTGTAATCCCAGCACTTTGGGAGGCTGAGGCGGGCAGACCATGAGGTCAGGAGATCGAGACCATCCTGGCTAACATAGTAAAACCCCTCTTCACTAAAAATATAAAAAATTAGCCAGGCGTGGTGGCACGCACCCATAGTCCTAGCTACTCTGGAGGCTGAGGCTGGAGAATTGCTTGAACCCAGGAGGTGCAGGTTGCAGTGAGCCATGATTGTGCCACTGCACTCGAGACTATGTCTCCAAAAAAAAAAAAAGCAACACCGGATCCTTACAAGCTTAACAATTAGGTTGCACTTTGCAGAGTATCCCCGAACCACTTTTTAGCCAGGATGGTCTCCTATGAAAGAGAAGAACATAACAGTGTCTTCTCATTATTTCCATTAGCCAGTTGGGAGATCCCAAAGAGTAAGTGTTGTTTCCTTCAGCAAGAATCCAAGGGAACAGAATCTTTGGCTTTTGTACATGAATTCTTATTCTCCTTCATTGTGAATACCTGACTTCATGGATGGAAAGGGACAAACTGCATTGGCCCAACTGAGAAAGCCAGAGACACAAATGTAGGACACGTAGGGGCACAAAACTGTATTTATATTCCATAGTGCTGTTTGTGACATCAAATATGTATGTTTCATATCTCCCATTAATTTGAAAATAATTTGAATTTCACTAAGTTTCAGATCTTGAAAACTCACCAGTTAGTAAAAACAAACTCACCGGTAGCCTAATCCCCATTTATCCCTTTGTTCAGATAGTCAACGTTTATTTAGATTTCACTGTTTACCATTTTCTTTGCTTAAATGTCTTCCCTTCTCCCCCCACCACGAGCTTTACTGAGCATACATATAATGGATAAATAAAAACTGTATATATTTACAGTATATAACATGATGTTTTGGCATGTGTACACTGTGAAACAATGACTACAATCAAGCTAATTACCGTGGCTGATGCCTGTAATCCCAGCACTTTGAGAGGCCGAGGCAGGCAGATCACCTGAGGTCAGGAGTTCAAGACCAGCCTGGCCAACATGGTGTAACCCTGTCTCTACTAAAACAAAACAAAAACTAACCTGTGTGTAGTGGTAGGCGCGTGTCATCTTAGCTATTTGGGAGGCTGAGACTAAAGAATTGCTTGAACCCGTGAGCCAGAGGTTGCAGTGAGCCAAGATTGCGCCACTGCACTCCAGCCTGGGAAACACCAGAGCGAGACTCTGTCTCAAAAAAAATAACAATACATTTATCACCTCACTTGGTTACCTTTTGTGTATGTGTGTGCTTGTGTGTGGTGCGACACATCTGTCCCTTAATTCTTTCCATGACAGCACTACTGCAGACTGGTAATTCCTGGCGAATAGTTATGTGTGGCCATGATCCTTTTCCATAGCTGTTTTACATAAGACTGACTCAGTGGTGTGGCAACTGCAGATAACTAATCCCCACGGTCAGAAACTACTAAGAGTATTTAATGTCATTGTCTTACGAGATTTTCTGAATGTCAAAAAATTGAAGCCAAAATAGAAGAGGTTAGAAGGTCACGTGCAAAGGGGAGATAAAAACAGGCATTTCTCTTCTGTACCACCATCAACTTAAAAAAAAAATCATGATCCTGTAAGAGAAGCTCTTACCCATTGTTATGACAGAACATCAGTGATAAACAGCAGGGAAGCAGGTGATGAGAAAGTCATGTTTGGAATGTGTATTCTGATAAATTTCCTTAACTGGAAATTTTTTGAGGATTGGTGGAAGGAAGAGTAAAAAAGTAAAAAATCTTCTCTGCTTAAGACTTTTTTTAACCTACCACTAAAATATCCCTAAATTATAAGCCAATTAAGGAGGTAATTCCATGCTGAAATTCTGGCTGGACAAACTTGGTCTTGTGGTTTATTAAGTCACAAAAAGCATTTGCAGAATGACAGCGTCACTCAGAGACGTGGGCGTGTTGGCCCTTCACTCTTTGTTGAGGTATCACTTTGTAACTACCAGAAAGTTACATGAGTCAGACAATGTTTCTGCTTTTTCCTTATCATTATTTACAGTGTGAACAAACATACTGCTCAGAAAATAGGCCCTGGGTCATAAAGAAGAGACAATTGTCTAATGGAGAGTCAATTCTGCATAAAATCTCCATTCTGCTAAAATCATTAAACTGGCTTATTGAAGAATATTCTGAATACTACCTACACTGATACTTATTATTAACTTACTAAGCCCTGATTTTGTGCTTATCCTTTGAGAAAATGTTCAGAACGAATACAGATCAAAGGCACAGAGATCTGAAAGGTCTTGATCCTCTCACTCATTAAGCTCTGTGAGGTGTATTGGGAGAATGAATGGGAGTTGGGCTGGACCTAGAGTGCCCATTCATTGGGACCTAGGATCCCAAATCCTAGGTTTTGGGATCGGCCAGTAGGTAGTGGGACATCAAAGCTTTAGAAAAGGGGGAGTACCATGGCCAGATTTATGTTTTTTTTTTTTGAGACAGAGTCTCACTCCGTCACCAGGCGCCAGGCTGGATGAAGTGCAATGGCGGGACATCAGCTCACTGCTCCTCCGCCTCCCAGGTTCAAGCAATTCTTGTGCCTCAGCCTCCCGAGTAGCTGGGACTACAGGCACATGCCACCACACCCAGCTAATTTTTTGTATTTTTAGTACAGACAGTGTTTCACCATGTTGGCCAGGATGGTCTCAATCTCTTGACCTCGTGATCCACCCACCTCAGCCTCCCAAAGTGCTGGGATTACAGGTGTGAGCCACTGCGCCAGGCCCAGATTTATATGTTAAGACCACCTTTGCTTGCCTCAAAGTATAAATACAAATGTGAACACTTAAATCCTTACAAAAATTTTAACATACAGAATAGCAAAAAGCTTCCTTTTAACAAATATAGGAGTAAGAAATCCTTCAAAGTTTTGACTATTGTTGGAAATTATTTATTTTTTTAATCAAAAGCAGTGTAAGTGATGCTTAGAGCTAACCAGCAGAGGCAAATCCATTTTGAGGCAAATCCATTTTAAAGCACAGTGGAGAAAGACAGGGTAAGGGCAGAAACAGACTATATGATGGCTGACTAGGTAAGTCACACAAGACAAGAGAAACTACTTCCAAAGGCCATCGCGATAGCAGCCTCTTCTGCATTACAGACCCTTTATGTCTCAAACATTTGGGTTTGTGCATATACAGTGTCCCAAATTGATGGCTTTACTTTTGTAACCAGTTGGTTCTTTTCCAAACCAGAAGGCTTTCCCAAAACTGAATCTTACCTGGAGATGTTGTCAGGTGAGCAAGCAGAGATGCTGGTCTCCATGCTGTCCGAGCTGTCCAGGCTCAGCGTGTCACAGGCCTGGTCCTTGTAGCTGTGATCTGGGTAATGGAAACTATGCAAGTAGACATTTGACTCCGACGCTGTGCGGTTGTAAAATTCTTGTTTCTGCCTGTGTCCTTCACTCATCTGTTGGTGGTTATAGCCTAAGGAAAGAGCCATAAATATATTAGCGGGCCTCATTTTTCAGTCTTTGAATCTTAAACGTCTACAGACACAAGCCGGCAACCAGAAACATCTGCCTATGAAGCTTGGGCCTTGGTCTAATTTGTCTCG